ACCTCTGGCTGTCTTCTTTGTCTTGCAGGCTGTCCTCCTTCCACCTGCCTCCTTAAATATGGGAGTTCCCCAGGGATACATCCACAATCCTCTTCTTTTTTCTCTGCACCCCCTCTTTGTCCTCATTTTTCCTAAGGCTAAAGCTATCATTTTTGTATACATAAATTCCAGATGTCTCTCTCAATCTCCAATCTCTCCACTCATCCCTAGATTCACATCCTCACCTACCTGTAGGATGGCAGCAGAACGCTCTGAACATGAAGGATTAAAGTGCAACTCATCTAAAATATGACTTAATGTTGCACCCCCAACAGGTGAAAGTCGGTCCTACTCTTGAGTTCCCTGTCTCTGCCTTTGAGATCATCACCCACTCATTTCCCCAAACAAGCAGCCATGTGGTCGCCAGTGTGTTTGCTCCCTCTCTCTTTCATGCAGTCACACGCCAGCACGCGCACACACACACACACACACACACACACACACACACACAAATTGGTCCTACCCATTACCCTTCAAGTTCTCCCCAGTATTTCCTTGTTCTGGTCCTGCCCCACCCCAGTCCAGGTAGTCATCATCCATCGCCCGAACTAATACAATCTTCTCCTTACTTATTTCCCTACCATTGTTCATCCAATAGTTTGATAAATATTCATTAGCAAGCCGACTCTGTTGGACCCTGCTCTGGCCTCTCTCTGTCCCTACCAATAGAACTTCCTGCTGCTTCCGGTTATATTTCTCAAGTTCAAGTCCAACTCTGCTCCTCTGCTTGCTTAAAAATCTCAGAACAGGATCAAGTCCAAAGCAGTTAGCATGGCCCTTCGTGATTGGGTCTCCACTTCCCATCCATACCTAGGTCTGGGCACCACACTCCCCTTCCTCCTCCCTGGCTCCCAGCTCCTTTCAGCATTGCCTGGCACACCAGGTGCTCCCCCTGCCCCCTGCTCAACTGAGTAGCTTGTTCTCTCCCAAGGGAGTTGTCTGAGTCACTACTGGTCTGGTCAGGGGAGCAGACCTTCTCTTCACAATGAGAATTCCCACTCCACTGCCTTCAGCTAGAAAAAGCAAACATGGTCACTGGTCGTTCCAGAGCAGATACCACATCTCATCCTTTTCTAACCAACCCCTCTCTTATATACCATGTAAAGACCTTGATGACAAACCCTAACCTTGAGATATTGGGTTCATCCAACTCCTGCAGAGCCAGACACTGGAACTGCCTCGCATGGGACCACCTATGAAGGAGCTTGAGAACCTCCCACGGAGGGCTGGAGACCAACATGTTGGCTTGCCCATCTGCCATTCACTCAACAAACGCGCCCAGCTCCTGTAATGATGGGGCACGGAGTAGGGCTGCCGAGCGGGCTGGGGGAGATTCAGACAGCCCCTGCCCTCCGGGGTTTGACCGGTCACGTGCTCCATGCCGTGCTTCTAGGTGTCTAGGTGTGTTAAGCAGCCATGCCAAGAAGTCCTCCTAGCCACCCCACCTCCTGACTCAGATCCCTTTCATTCCTTTTCTTCATTCAGCAGATATACACTGAGCTCCTCCTACATGTGCCGGGGGCTTTCTGAGTTGGGACACAGCAATGTACGAGACAAACAAAATCCCTGGTCCCCCTGGACATATATTTCAGGCGTGGGGGATAGAAAATCAAATGAGCAAAGACACGTAAAGTCAGAATGTGCTTATAAAGCAAGGAGAAACAGAGATGATATTTTAAGCAAGGACTTTGGTTTCCCTGAGAAGGAAACTGACATTTGAAGAAAAACAGGAACTAGGTAAGGGAACCACGACCGCCACCGCTGCCTCATTTGTGCGGTTTTTGCTGCAAATATCTTAGAGCTACGATTCAAGGAGAGAAAAAAAAAAAAAAACCAGTGTATTCTCTCTACCCATAAGGAGAGGAGGCAGAATGAAAGGAGAAGAAAAGCCCGGAACAAGAGAAATTATTCCGTGTTGAACTGTCCCTGATGGACACTTGAAAACCAGCTCGGGGCAGAGCTGGCCGCGCCGAGGGGCTCCCCGGGCCCTCTCTCGGGCTGTCAGGCTAATCCCGCCACCTCCTCCCGCCCCGCCCCGCCCTGGGGGCGTTTGCTCGGGCGAGTAAGTTCAGACCCCGCAGAAGCGAGTCCTGGGGGGCGCTTTGCGCGGAGAACAGCGGGGCCGCAGGAGAGACCCCGGGGCCGCAGCGGTCCCCGGAAACCGGGCTGCGGGCAGAGGCCGCGGGTCCCGAGGGCCGGGCTGGCGGCCCGAGGCCGGCTGGCGGTCCGGAGGGCCGGGCTGGCGCGCGGCGCTGGCCTGCGCGCTAGCCGAGCGCGGTCCGGTGCGCGCCGGGCTCCTCCCTGGCGCGGTCACGCTGGCGCCGCCGCCGCGCTGGGGCCCTTCCCGCCCGCGGCCGCGGCTCCGAGACGGCAGCCCGGGCGCGCGTCCGACCCAGGCCGCCCGAGAACGCCGCCGCGGATGCTGTTTTGCTTGGGCCGGGTCTCTCCCGCGCCGAGTCGCACAACAAACCATTTAAACATCTCGGCACAAAACCCGGTCCATTGTGGGGCCGCACATTAAAAAGTGTTATTCGCTTTGAAGTTTTTGTCTAATGGCTCTAAACTGAAAGAAAATGTTTTCCTATTACTTAATTCAATCATAGCGAAGAGACTTGGTAAAAAGCCCACGGATTTTGCCCCAAAGTGTGACAGAGTTCTCTTTGTGTTTGCTTATCCTCCGCTGTCACACACTTTAATTCGCCTCTCTTTATCTGGCATTCAAAACTTTCTTCAATGACATTCAATAAGGTCCAGAGGCTGGAGGCAGAGGGGGAAAAAAACTGGTTATTCCTCCCCCCAGCCACCCGCCCCCATATTCTTTCCCAGTAGCTTTGGCCTTGCTCGCATTCAGGGGCTCTTAACCCCTTCCTCCCTGCGCGCGCCGCGGCTCCCGGCAGAGCTCGACTCTGGCCCCTCGAGGGCTCCGCTCCCGGGCGCAGCGCCCGCCCCTTGCAGCCCGCGGGCCCCGCCCGCGCCCGCCTCCCCAGCCCGCCTCGGCCCAGCGGGGAGCCCTTCTCCGGGCCCGGGGCCCGCTCCGGCTCGCTCTCAGCCGCCCAGCCCAGCCCAAATTTCCCAGAGAGCAATTAGAACGGGAATTAGGCTGCATTGATGCGTCCCGGCTGGTTTGCGGGCACCACCCTTGAGCCGGAGCCTTGGAGCGGAGACCGCGGCGTAGGGGGCAGCCGTGCCCTCCGCCCCATGCCAGGCAACCAGTGGCACATCGGACCCTTACCCCTGCCAGATGGCATGCCCTCCACGCGGGTTGTTTCCCGCACTGCCCCTCTCCCTTTTATGGAAGCAGGGGTTTTTCCTTCCAAGACAAATTCTCTTCGCTTTTTAATCAGTTATAATTTGTTGCTGTTGTCATTGCAAAGATGTCATCGGTGATGAAAACCCATGCAAAGGCGTGGGGTTTCGGTAGCCTTCTTCCTGTGCACTGCCTCTCTGCCCCCTCGCTTCCCCCTCCGTTTTTCACAATTCCATTCAGGGCTCTAAGCAGGTGATGGCAGCTATTTGGTTCCAATAAAATCGAAAGCAAACGTCTCCGGTGAAAAGTCGCGGGCTGTAAATTCGAAATATTTATGCTAATTTCCCATTGTATGGAAAAAGCTCCTGAGCGAAACAGCTTTGAGCCCGAGGATGATTTAAAAAGCCGAGGCTGTGTACCCAGCGCCGGGCGTTTGAAGTTGTTTAACCATTGTGTGACCAGAAAGAAGAGAGTGACATGGCAGGAGGAAGAAGCCTGGCCTTGGGGACCGCGGAGCCGGGTCAGGGCTGGCAAAAGCAGCGGGGAATACGACTGCCCTGCGCGCCGCCGGCTCTGCCCGAAGGCGGTGGCTTCTGAGCGCGCCACCCGAGCGTGCGCCGGGGCGGAGGGCGCCTGCAAGACCCGCGCGGGCGGAGACGTCCACGCTCGCCACATTTAAGCGGGTGCGAGACCTCGATCTGCATCGTCTAGGCTTCCGTTCCCCATTCCCTGTCCCTGTCTTTGACTCTGAGCGACTACTTTTCTCTATTTTACACGCAGGGCCCTGCCATCCGAAGGGAAGGGCTGGGGGGCCGGCATCTGCGGAACAAAGACTGGGCGTTGCAGGCAGTGCCGAAGTTAAGACTATCTGGGAAACTTAAGAGAACTCAGAGGGGCCGCGGAGGGGCTAGTGCTGGATGAGGAACAGTGAACCCCTGTCCTCCCTCCCCACATCGCCTCCCTGGCGCACGAACCCGGGGCCGCCGGCTTCTGCCTCAGGGAGAGGAGAGGGATTCCACAGGTGGATCGGAGGCCGGCTGCGGGGACGCTCGCAGGGGCACAGAGCTGAGCTGGCAGAACTGAGTGGAGGCAGCGTGCTTTTGGGGGCAGGGAGGTAATAGAAAGAAGGGGACCAGGACCAAGGGCGCAGAAGAGATGGGGGTGTGCGCCCGTGGGGATCTGTCTGTAGAGGCGAGGCAGCGGGGGTGCAAAATCAATGAGATAAACGGCCCGATCGCCATGGCAAAGCCAAAGGGGAGTAAGGAATAAAGAGAAAGAAAAGAATATTAAATCGCAGGAGAATGAGAAAATAAACCCGCAAAAGGGAGAGGAGGGGGCGAGGGCGCCTGTTACGGCGTGGGTGGGGTTGACAAGAATAGAGTACATTATGCAGTTCATTTAGTTAACAAGTGAAATAATGAGGAAGCGTGCAGAGTGAATGCCAAGAGAAAAGGCACAAAAACCCTATTGAGAGGCCCCGGCCGCTCCTGGCGTAGCCCATCACATGGCAATAGTCCTATTTAAGCGGCGCCGCCGGCGCCTTTCAGCACCACTAGCGCTGGCCAGCACCCCGCGCTCTTTGGGTGGCGCCCGCGGCTACTGCTGTGTGGATTTCAGCCCCGGCCCCGCCGCGCCTCCAGCCCCCGGGCACAGCCAGCTGCGGGCGGCCGAGGCCCGAGAAAGCGCCTGGAGAGCCCGGAGGTCCGGCGGGCGCAGGGGGCGGGCTGGCTGCCGGGCGGCCGCGCGCCGGGGCCATGCCGCGCTCCTTCCTGGTGGACTCGCTAGTGCTGCGGGAGGCGGGCGAGAAGAAGGCGCCCGAGGGCAGCCCGCCGCCGCTTTTCCCCTACGCGGTGCCCCCGCCGCACGCGCTGCATGGTCTCTCGCCCGGCGCCTGCCACGCGCGCAAGGCCGGGCTGCTGTGCGTATGCCCGCTCTGCGTCACCGCCTCGCAGCTGCACGGGCCCCCCGGGCCGCCCGCTCTGCCTCTGCTCAAGGCGTCCTTCCCGCCCTTCGGCTCGCAGTACTGCCATGCGCCCTTGGGCCGCCAGCACTCTGCCGTGTCGCCCGGGGTCGCTCACGGTCCGGCCGCCGCCGCCGCGCTCTACCAGACCTCCTACCCACTGCCGGACCCCAGGCAGTTCCACTGCATCTCCGTGGGTAAGCGGGGCCGCTGCGCAGGGGGACAAGGCAGAGGTGATCAGAGGCAGGTTGGCGTGCCAGGAAAGGGGGAAGAGGGACCCGAGCGTTCTGGAGGTTGAGAGGGTCATATCGGGGACCTGAGGGGGGCGCACAGACTGGTGCGCAGATAAAGGGCCAGGACGCGACGCCTGGAGGTGAGGACAAAGGTCCAGGTCCTGGAGGGGGGTCCAGGGCGCTCCATAAAGAGGATCTAGGGCTACGTGACTCCGGGAGAACCCGGATCCTGCAGCTGGGTAAACAGGCGCTCGAAATGGCGCTGCTGCGGGTGGTGTTCTGAGAGAAGGGGTGGGTGGGAGACCAAAGTTGAGGGATTCTAGCGGGGGAATGAGCCCACCGCGCAAAGGTCTGACCGCTTCCCTCTCTGCTCCGCCACCCCCTCTAGACAGCAGCTCGAACCAGCTGCCCAGCAGCAAGAGGATGCGCACGGCGTTCACCAGCACGCAGCTGCTGGAGCTGGAGCGCGAGTTCGCCTCCAACATGTACTTGTCCCGTCTACGCCGCATCGAGATCGCGACCTACCTGAATTTGTCTGAGAAGCAGGTGAAGATCTGGTTTCAGAATCGTCGGGTGAAGCACAAGAAGGAGGGCAAGGGCGGCAACCACCGCAGCAGCGGGGGTGCCGGTGCTGGCGGGGGCGCACCGCAGGGCTGCAAGTGCGCGTCGCTCTCCTCAGCCAAGTGCTCCGAGGATGACGACGAATTGCCCATGTCTCCGTCCTCCTCGGGGAAGGACGACCGAGATCTCACGGTCACTCCCTAGACGTGCGTCTCTCTCTAGGTCGCTCACCCCAAGACCTCCCTGCGCCTCAAAGACTGGCCCTGGGACGCAGCACTGGTTCCCAGGCACCCGCTGCCAAACGACCGCCCCGCACGGATTTGGCACGGCTTTACGGAGGCCCCGGGCCCTGGGCAGGGGTGAGAGCTTGGCAGAGACCTGCCAGTGGTATCCCTGCCCCAGCGCTCGCGCATCCAAAGCGAACTCCAAACTGTGACCCTGCACGCGCTTGAGTTCTCCTGGACAGAGCAGCGCAGCGGCCCCCAGGCACGCCCGCCTGGCGCAGCGCCTCGCTGGCCGCCCGCGCCTCCTCGCCCGCCCTCTCCGGGCTGGCTCAGCCTTCCTTGCTTCCTCTAGTCTTCTCCGCCCCAGGTTGAGTTCTGCCTTTCACCCAGATGCCCGTTCACTTCTCTCTTTTTAAAATGTCTTTCTCTCTTCCTCCCCACCTCTTTCCTTGGTCCTTTATCCACAGCTCTCGCTCCCCCCCCCCACATACATTTATGAACTTTGTTTTCCCCTTGCCTTGCCCTCCTCGGGGAGCCTCCTCATTCAGTCAGTCCGTTTGTCCCTTGGTCAGGCCTTGCTGCCCTCAGTCCCCGCAGTTCCTCTCCCGTAGGAGAAATGCCCGTGGTGTACGTATTGGGGAAGCCGATTCACTCGGTTTCCGCCCAGCTCTGCACTCCCCCAAACATAGCCCCCGGCCCTGCGCCTCTGGCAACCCTTCTTCTCCCGGCCCCCACCCCACTCCGGCACCACCCCGCCTAGCTGTGTAATTGTACCGTCTCTGTAATACCAGAAGATATTTATTTATTTATTTATTTATGTACAAAATTTTAAATAAACTTTTTTTTTCTTAGAAATGCGGGTGGCTCTGTATTAGACCGGCGCGGGCCTTGATTGGGCCTCCCTGCTGGGTCGGGTTGGGGAAGGGAGTGCGGCGTCGAGCTGGCTCCTCACTTTACAGCTCAGCCAACCCCTGTCCGCGCCTGCAGCCCGCGGAGACCTGGCTTTCCACGCCAACCCTGTGCGCTCCCGCTCTCGAATCCTCGGCTCCAGCCTGGCCCACACGCGCCCTGGCGCGCAGAGACGGGAGCTGGAGGGGAAGGAGGGAGATTTCCCCGGCTGCGCCTTGGTCCGACCCCCGCAGAGCCTCCTATCGCGCCTGGGGTCCACGCCCAGGCCCTAAATGTTCCATTATCTCTGCCGTCAGCCCAGAGGACAGGAACCACCACTCCCTGGCGAGCGCACGAAATCCGTCCTTCGCTGCGCTCGGATTGACAACGATTCATTAGGGGAAAATGCAGTCTTTGGGATGATGCGGCCTCTTCTCGAAAGGCCTCCGCGCATTGCTTTGAGACAAATTCCGTCTGCGGCATCCTTGGTCGCAAACCATTCCAGGCGAGGAATTTGAGGACCCTGGAGCGATCCCGCCACAGGGAGTTCCAGCTTGGGGTTCCGTGGAGCCGGATCCCGTGGCTCTGGGACCTCGTGGTGTCACCAGTTCTCATTACAATCCTACATTCCCCTTCGACTTAGAATCCACACCCCAGCCCAGCCCCAGCGGGGCTTTTTATGTGCTATGATAGACGAGGAGAAAAAGGAGGTGCATGGGGTTCTGCCAAGGCCAAGAGCGCAGAGCCACGGGAGGGGGAGTATTTCTGGGGTCGGGAATCAGACGCAGGAAACAGCAGATCGGGGTTCTCACAGTCCAGGGGAAACTCAGTATTCTGCGTCCTGGAAACCCCGGCCATCTCTTTTCCTACCAGAAACCCAACCCCTACCCAACGCACCCTGGGGAGCGACAAACTCCCGGTATCTGAGCAAAGCAAACAAACGCGCCTCTTTCAGCAAGAAAGATGTTCCATTTGGGGTTGCTCAACATTTGTGGGGCTCATTTCTAAAACCTTCTATCTTTTCCTTCAAATCGGGCTGAGTGCGGGGGAATCTCTCCAGTTCCCCTAGAACAGGGGTGGGCCGGATCTGGCTCCCCACGGAGAAGCCCTTTCTCGTTCTTCCTGGAGCAGGAAGCTGGAGTTTTGCGGGAGACCGATGAGAGGCTTCATCAGTTTGAACCTCAGTCTCTCGGGAACCAGTTCTCCGCCATCCCGGGAGGCGGCATTGTACCAATGTAAATGAAGTGAAGAAGGTGCTTCTGGGCACACTGTGAATAGAATCCCAATTAGTGTTTTATCTGTGCAGATTCTGATGCTTTCTCAGTTTTGCTTTAGGGCCGTTCTGTCAGTGTAGTTGCGCTTCCTTTAGCTCCAGGGACACCTGCCAGTCTGCCTTTGGCTGGGATTTGGGGGCTGGTGGCAGCATGACCCCCAGGGGACCGGTTCATGGGAGGTCGGAAGGGCTTGCTCACTGGCAGCTCGGTCCCCTGGATTACAGGAGGGGGTGGTCTTGTGCGCGTGGGACAGGTTCTCACTGGCGCTGGATGGCACATCCCTCGACCAGAAAAGCAGTTTCAGGCCTGCCAGGGAGCTGATTTGGGGGGTGGGGAGGTGGAAACGGGGCTAGGAGATACGTGAAGAGGCTGAATATCCCCTCCCCACGCCCTGCGTCTCATCCCCACCCCGCATCCTTCAGTTTTGCCATCCTGCCTAGGGGTCCCTCCTGTTCCCAGCTGCTCGCAGAGTCTGCAGATCCACAGCTGCGCGCCAGGTCCGCGCGGGCCCTGTGCTCCCGTGAACGTGAGCTTCCCGCTCTCCGCCTCCCTGCCCCGCTTCCAGAAGACCCGGCTTTCTGCTTTCTGGCGGCTGGCTTAGCGAGCAGTAGGCGCAAGATGCAGCCTCCTTGTGGCGGTCCCAGCCGTTGCCGAGGTCGTGACGCGAGCGCAGGCCGGGAGCGTGGAGGCGGCTGCGGCGCACGGGGGCTCTCACAGTCCCGCAGCCGCCGGGAAGGGCGGCGACCCGCCCTGGAGTCCCCACTCACTTCCGCTCAAACACTCCTCACCCTGCAGTCTCTGCCCTGAATGCAGAAATAGTCCGGGCGTTGGGTAGTGCCAGCCCGGAGGCCTTGGCCGGCAGTCAAAGCCTCTCCTCCGCAGCCGGGCTGGAGGCTAGCACACTAGGGCGCGATTGCGGCTGGCCAGGAGCTGCTGGCCTCATCCGTCATCTGGGGAGACACAATCCAGCCTTTAAGCCCCTCTATTCTGAGCTGGAATTTGGGGTTTGCAAGGCAAATTGTGAAATTAGAAGCAAACTGGGTTATCAGGATGAAATTTCCTGGAAATTATCATTTAACGTGACTAACCTAAATACAGACGCCTGAGTTTATTTCAGGGACAGCCTTTCTTTTCTCTGTGCAGTCTAGCAGCTAGGAGTTTGGGCCCTAGATTCCAAGTGCCTGGGGTTGCAATCCATTTCCATCATTTACTTACAAGCTGGGAATCTTGAGCAATTCACTGGTCCTTCCTAAACTTCAATTTCTTCATCTGTAAATGGGGATTCTGTTCATAGTTCCTCTGCGGGGTTGCTGTGCAATATTAATGGATAGAATTCACCTAAAATGCTAAGTGCAATGTTTGCCATGAGTCAGTGAATGTTAGCTAATTTTGTAGTTGCTGCTGTAATTGTCCCTTGTAGTGTCTATAACTGTGCCTGGGGCAATGTCGGCGCTGAATTATTTACTGGATGCTGACAAGACTGTTCACACACAGATTTAGGTCGAATCCACCACTGAATAGGGGAAAGAACAGAACACATGCAAGTGCAAGTATTTCCTGCACTCCCTGGAGATAGTAGATCAGAGAATAAGGAGTGCCACCCAGCTGCTGGAATCACATAAGGATCCTCTTTCCACCTTTGTTTAGACCAGTTTCTCAACCTGGACACTATTGACATTTTGGGCTGGATAATTCTCTGTTGTGGAGAGCTGTCCTGTGCATTTCATCTGGCCTCTACCCACTAGATGATAGTAGTGCCCTCTCCCACTTGTGACGGCCAAAAGTGTCTCTAGACATTTGCCAAAAGTCCTGGGGGCGGGGGAGAGGGATCACTTCAGGTTGAAAAGAACTGATTTAGATCAATATCATTTCTGTTGAAGTTTACTATGGTGGCCAGGATTTGGTGGCCTAGCTCTGAGCACACCTTCCCTCCTGCCTTTCCTTCAGTTATCCCTGCAGTGGACATGTGCACCTTCTACATCCTATTGAATATCTGAACCGTCTACATCCAGGGAACCAGACTATGCACTCCAGGGTGGTGTGAGAGGAGGAAGGAGAAAGAGAAAGTGAGGAGGGTGGTGAGGGGAGACAGCAGAGACAAAGGCCTTTCCGGCATGGTGGGGTGCAGGGTCCGGTCTGTATGGGCCCTGGCATGTAGGTTGAAAGGGTGCATCAGCCAGAGGTTTGCTGGCTGGGCAGAGTTTACAGGGTTTCTAGGGCCTTTCCAATAATATTCTGTCCATGCGTTTCATGTCATGGCCCTGTAGATAGTTGAGCTTCCTCTTCTGTCCATGGGTACGCACAAGGCCAATATTTGGGTGGAAAAATTTTAGGAACCCAGGGTGGCATTTCTCCAAATCTCTCTCTGTCACACACATGGACACACATTCACCACCTCCGTTGTGGTCCTTCCTGGAGCACGTGCCTTTACCTGTTTTGTTAATGTCTGAAAGTCATTAGCTAGACATCAATTCCTTTTGATTAAAGCCTCTCATATTTGATTCAAATACAAGTACACCTGAAAACAGTAACCGCTGAGCACTGACAGTCATTCACTTTTCCTGACAGAAGGCTCCAGAAGGGCTAAGGTGTAGAAGGGCCCTGAGGACAGAGCATGAGGTACGTAGAAGAGATGCAGTGGCAAGAATAGGGTTGGGGGGAGGGTTCCAGAAGTCCCATTGGCACCAATCAGTGTTGCCTGAGGCCATCTGTCCCCCAACCCTGAATTTGGGGGGCAGGTGAGTGACTGTGTTTACTAGACACCTTCAGAATCCGACTTCACCCACAAAGTGAGGAATAAGCCAACCCCAACGAGGCAATAACCTCATGAGTCCAGGTTTCCCAAACCTTGCATATGGCTGCCAACGCTCGAGTTCCTAATACTATAGGGGTGTGTGTGCACATGAGCGTGTAGCAGAGGCTGAAACAAAAGGAAAATGATTAAAGAGTTGGTGAGTCTAAGAGGAGAACCAGATAATCCTGAAGTTGAATACCCTGCTTTAGTGATCAAGCTGTCACTACGAAGCCAAGCCCTGGTGCCAGGAGGCTCCTTTGAAACCAACAAGGAAATCCAAGGCCCTGAACCTGACACCTCCCAGCCTGGCATCTGGGCTCCTACCTGGGAGTGGCATTCCCAGCTCCAGGCAGGAGCACCCCCCCCATGGTCTGTTGGGGAGGCATTTGATCTGGCCTGCCTTTTAAGCAGCTGTGGGTAGGCAGTGTGACATTCAGGAGTCCTACCCTGTGTCACCACAGTCTGGGACATTTATCAGAGTGGGCTTTAGGCTGTCAGCCCCCGGGAGGCTGGGTCAGCCCAGGGACCACCTGCATCAGCTCACTGTTCACAGAGAGGTGCCAGAAAGAAGCAGATGTCTGTTTCCTGGATTCCATGATGATATGAATTTCTAGAATGCCTCTGTAATGGGCTAAATTGAGTATCCAAAATTCATGTATTGAATTTTTATGTAATCTAAGTACCTCAGAATGTAACTATAGCTAGAGGTAGGGCCTTTAAAGAGGCTATTAAGGGAAAATGAGGTCCTACGGGAGGGTCCTAATTCAATGCGACTGATGTCTT